ATCCCTCATGGAAGTTTAATCATTTACCTCCAGGGAAAGGGTTGAAGAAATGAAGCATAGATGAAAACTATAGCACAGAAGTTTAATGTGTGAAACAAAAACAATTTGAACTTGCAGAATAAAGTCATGTTTTGGGTACTTATTGCTCACAGTTTTGCTCGCAGAAGTTGGAGAGCACGATTCTTATTCTGAAGTTGTGTCCTTTCTTCAGTACAAAAGATGCGGATTCCTGTTGGTTTGTGAATAAGATCAACAGCTGTCTCCACCTTGTTGACATTTTGCCCTGTGGGACAATCATGGAAAGGAACATGTTTACAGAGATGTCTCTTTCCTTTTTCGTTCTGTAGAGAACGAAAGTCATGGAGAACTAATAGTCTGATGCTGAAATGTTAGCTCAAGCTTTCCTGTTGCATACCTCCAGCACCTCCAGATCTTGCTGTTGTGAGTTCATAGTCTTTTGGATCAATCACTACCTCCACTTCATCAACCTAGTTTATATGAAGCATAAGCACAAAGAATAAGACATGCTGATTATGGAGAGGACATAAATGCTAACATGAAGTTTACAAGCACAGTGACATATTGAACACATAATTAAGCAAAAAATAAACCATGTTCAGAAATTATGGAACCACTTTGATATTTTCCTTACACGTGAAAACTTTGTTAAAACAAATTCAGGATTTAAGTGAGCAATTTGCAATTCCTCCAAGCTTTGCCACTGTCACATGTATATAAAACAAAGTGCTCAGGCATGATGTAATGTACCTCAGGCATGATAGCTACAGTTGCAGTAGAAGTGTGCACACGTCCCTGTGCTTCTGTCTGAGGAACACGTTGAACTCGATGGACACCAGACTCGTATTTCAATTTACTGTAGACACTTTTTCCTTTGACCTCCATCACATAGGTTTTGTATCCGCCTTTCTCAGCCTTAATAAGGATTATGGCCAGTCAAAATGAAAAAAAAAAAAAAAAAAGGTTTGCATGTTTTTAGCTGATACAGCAGCAACACTATTACCTACCTCAGAACTTGAAATGACAGAGACCTTCCAAGAGTTCTGCTCACTGTATTTCTGATACATACGGACCTTAGCATTGAAAAAGATGTGTAATATAAGGGTGCGCTCGAATGGTATAGCGAAACTTGCAAGCAAATCATTTGGAAGGGGAAAGAAGATAACAGAGTGCAACTATATAGATAGAACAGCAATCCCTTAATAATAAAATTGATTCTACAGCAACACCCACATCCACATTATTAACGGGGTAACCCAAAAATTTTGTTCAGCTATTGTTAGAAAGAAAAGAACACCTAGCCACTCAATAAACAATATTGTTACTCCATCTAGAAAGACAACAGGCATAATCATTTTATTTCTTCGTACTTTTCCAGAAAGTCCTCGCAATCTTTGTCCAATATTTACACCCAAAATTTTTACTCTAGTCTAATTTCCACTAGTTTCTGGTTTAGAAACTTTTACATAGCAAATTTGGAAGGTCGAGAGAAGCATGTACCTACAAGATCACCAGCCCATAGTCCAGCCTCGTCACCACCAGTACCTGCCCTAACTGCAAATGAAGAAAATTCGGTACCTGCCCTAACTGCAAATGAAGAAAACAAGGAGATCTATAAAGTGAGTGAAACGAAGACAATTCAGAGGATACACAAGGAACTGCATCAACTCTTTCTTTATCAAGTACACAATAAGCAAAGCATTTAAGCTGTAGCATAAACAGAATAACTCCGGAATTTTAAATAAAATAAAAGATGGTCATACAAAGGACACAATTTTAATCCACATCCACAAATACATTCCAGAAGAAAAATAATCATCCGAGATGACGGTAATCATAAATTAAAGACAAGCACTTCCTGCCTCTTGTTTTGTCCATAATTTCAAAAAATTTAGGTATTCAACAATTTCCATGTAAATGAACTAAAATAGCTTTATGACATACACATACAACATCACCTACATTGGACATGATTCACAAACAATTGGATAGTGCATTGTGTTTGACTGAAAAAGACAATATGCATATATACCTTCAAGTAATATATTCCTTGCATCAAGAGGATCGCTAGGAAGCAGTAATACCTATCAACAAAAGATACGAAAATAAGACCCTAAACTCCAAAGTAAAATAAAAGCAAAGATAAAATAACTGAAAACAACAACAGGAATGTGATGGCAAGAATGAGATGAGCACAACATCTCCCTTGAAACTGCAAGACTCAACATCAATGATGAAACTAAAAGGACACTTCTACAAAAGGTCTCAAATTGAAATGACAGTGGTAATTTTTGTCCAAGCTGTCAAGATTGAAATAAGATAAGCAGAACATTACATCAAAATAATTGGACAAGCAAACTATTACAAGAACTTATCTAAGAGACTAGAAACTGAACATGATAATGACAACATAGAAAGGAAAAAACCGTAAGTTTCTCTTCAAGCTGTTTGAGTTCACTGGATAACGACTCAATTTCATATGCTATCATCTCTGCCATGTCTTCATCATTTCCATCCTCTTTCGCTAGAGCTGTCATGGATTATTAGTACAAACATCCTTCAATCTTATATTCCTTCTTTTTTTCACAAAAAAAATATATATATAAATAAATTAAGAGAAACGAAGTCGAAACCTTTAGTATCTTCTAGCATCTTTTCACAATCCTTGAATCTCTTAAAAATTGAAACCACCTAATTATCCAGACAAAATACAATAGCGTATCATAATTGAGTAAAAAATATGGAGTAATATTTAAAAAAAAAAAAAGAGAAATTGAGTAAAAAATATGGAGTAATATTTTTTTTAAAAAAAAGAGAGAAGAGAAATGGGATATACCTCGTCAAGCTCAGCCACAGACTGAGCCAGCTTTTGATATTCACTGGGATTTGAAACAACATCTGGGTCACCCAGCTTCACCTACACAATCAGTGAAAAAAAAAATCTGAAAACAAAAACCTCCCTCCTGTTAAAAATCAAATTAATTTTTTTTTAAGGCAAATTTACTTACGGACAATTCTTTCCAAGTCTTCTCAGCAGATTCCAGCTTGGTTATCAAATATGGCTCCTGTATCATAACCAAACAGAAATAAGTATATCTACTTTTAATTACAGAGCCTTGATCAATTGCTCATTCGTTTTTAACGCACCGCCATGCAAACGATTCTTGGAGTAGTGCTGCGAGAAAGAGAGGGTCGAAGGAAGAAGATACGACTTGGGGTTTGGCGAAAATGGTGGGGGTGTGGTATTGTTGGGGACATTCGAGCTGTTACGCTCGTCGTTGCTAAGCTATTATTCATGCTTCTTCTTCTTCTTCTCGCTTGCCGTTTGCTAAGTTTCTGATAAATAAAGAAGCCACGAAAAATTAAGTGGCTTTTTTTTTTTTTTTACCTTTTTCTTATCTTTTTAAGACCTGAACTTGACAGGCAGAAAGAGCTATGGAGGAACTGATAAGGGCGGGTCTCTGCTCGAGTGATGTGGGTTAGGTTATCACCACAGATCTTCCTGCGTTTTCCCACAGCCTGGTTAGGTTATCCTCTCTCTTTTTCAATGGATATTTAACATTTGAGTTAATACTCACTCTTTGATTTTTGTGTTTAAAAAGTAATTTAACTGTTTTTTTTTTTTTTTCGAAATTAACTAAGAGAAAACCCAAAACATGTTGCAAAAGTACCATGGAAATACCTTGATTTATCGTGGATTCAAATAACAAGATTACTATTTTATCCTTTTTTTTTAAATAGTTTATTATGGATAATTGAATGTTTTTATATGGTCCATTAATTATTTTATATTTTATTAGAAACCTCTAGGCTCGTTATAATTACTTAATTATCGTTAAACTCAACAAATTGACGATCTTAATCTAGAACATTTTTGTATTTTTTAAAATATTTAAATGACTCAAATATTTTTAAAACATTAATTTTCTTTATTTGGGGTATTTTTTAAATCTCTGCACAATTTTTTTTATTATAAAGTTTGTTTATAGGCAATTTTATAATTTAAGAAGTGTGCGTGTCTATATATATAAAGGTTGTTGACGCTTTCGTGCACACATGGGTGGTGTGATTGGGATCATTGAGTGACAAAACACCATCTTGTGCAATAATAGCCTTTGAATCATCTCGATATCCTCCCATGATGAGGCAAGGCATCTGGCAAATGGCGGTCTTGGTGTTTGCAATCCCTATTTTTCTCTCTCTCTTTTTTTTTTTCTTATTTTTTGATTTTCATATATATCTTTTTAAAATTTTGAACATTTTTTAATTTTTAATTTATTAATATTTAATATATTTTTTATTACTATTTATTTTATTTTAAATTATTTATAAATTTTAAATTCTTTTTTAATTTCATCTCCTTTTAAGTTTTTTTAATTAAATTTAATTTTTATTATTTAGATTGTTATTTTTTTAACTTTGATAATTTTTTAAATTTATTTTTTATTTTATAATTTAATATTAAATTTATTAAAAATTGAGTTTTTTTTATCGAGTACGAGTATAAGATTTCATGGAAGCGAAATTCAGAGATTAATATATTTTTACTTTTAGGTTTACTGTTTTTTTTCTTTTATTCTTTTTAAGTTGGTGTTTTTTTAATTTTAGACTTTAGTATTTATTAAATTAAAAATTAATTTTTATTATTTTTATTTATTTTTTTTAAATTAAATTTTATTATTTTTATTTATTTTTTATATATATAATTTTTTTATTAATTTAAAAAATAATCTAGGTTATTTCGATTTTTTTAGCTGTTGGTTTTTTTGTTGAATTTATGTTGATAAATCTTTTGAATTGATAATTTTTTTTATTTGATATGATCTTTTAATATTTGATAGAATTTTTTTCAAATTTAATCTTTTAAGGCTAAAGTTTTTTTATATTGAGATTTATAATTTTTTTAATATTTATTTTACCTCAGTTTCTTAAAAGTTAATTTTGATTGATAGAGTTTTTAAGTTTTACTAGATCAATTTTTATAGGACTTCATCTTTTGCAACTTGATCTTTTCTATATTTCAATTGATGCCTCGCTCTTTTTTTATTCTCTCTGCAAGTACAGTTACAATCTTTCCTTTACAGCTCAACCCTTCTAGTATCAGCTTATGTTTGCTTTTGTGTTCTTGATCTGGGTTTTGATTTGTTCTGGGTTTGATGCAGGATTTATTGAAATGAAAGAACAATGGAGACAGAGAAAGCAAACAAAACACACAAACACAATCACCGAGACAAGCTAGAGAGCTACTTCTTGTAAAAGAATTGAAGAATGATAGAGACAGAAAGCAAACAACTTTGTATTGTTTTTGTGTGCAAGACAAAGGTGAGATCTGGGGCTGGAAGCTTTTAAAAGGTTCTTCCTACGAGCTTTTACTTTCTTGCTCGGTATGTTTTCCTTCCTCTTGTAGTATCCATTTGTTTCACGAATTGTTGAAACTAAAAACCTCAGAATGTGTAAATTAGGGATTTTAGGCTTAATAAGTCAGGAAAGCATTGGATAGGCATGCATGATAATTGGAGAAATTGGATGCATTCTACTGCATAATTTTGGGTTCTTGTTTTCTTCAGAAATCTTGGCAGCAGCTTGTCTAGGGTATGTATTCTAATCTCTAAGTCCTCATTGAAGTGTTCTTGCTATGAAGTTTGTTTCTTCGATAAAAAATTCAAAACTTTATCATCGATGATAATTGGGGTTTTAGGACATGGTAATGTCTTTTAGGCCAACTCAATAATGGCTTCTTTTTTTTTTTTGGTGTCTTTTTCTTGTTAAGTTTTCAGGGACTGGTCAGTTGGATGAACAGGCTATGCTGTTTAGCTTTTGAGCAAGTATGGTGAAAGGAGCTTATAATGGTGTCTAGGTCTATGTTACGTGTGTTTAGTGTTTGTGTTCTTAATTTGCCCCTGGTTTAAGTGGATCAACCAAAAAGCATGTCCGGACACATGGCAGCCCCAACTAAATCTAAAAACAATACGTACCATCTCTGTGATCTCTATTTTTGCTGTACTTTGTAAAAAAATTGCTTTATGTGATGAGCTTCAACATTATATGGTGGTTTTTCTGTTTTCACGAAAAATAAAAGAATACTATTATATTGGTCCGTATTATTCGGTGGGTAAATAATTCTTTTTAAATGTAAAAAAAATATAAAGAATATATTAAATATTTTGGATTGGACAACAGAAAAATTTAAAAATTATTAGATTAGGATGAGTTGTCTACTCAATGCTAGTGTGTCTTGTTGATTGGTAAGACACAATACTATTAGGTTTTCTCGGCAGCAAAACTAACACTTAAGAGAAAAAAAAATTTAACTCAACTTAATCTTAAATAAAAAAATTATCATCATTTAACTTTTATATAATATAAAAAAATCTCAACAATTTTTTTAATTATATATTAAAAAATAAATAAGAAATCATAAAAAATTAGAAAGATAAAAAAATAAAATTGAAAATATGTGACAGTAAGATCCAAGGCTAAAAGAAAAGCATTTCAAACCAACCCAACTTCAAATAAAAAAAATAATATCACTATCCAGTTTTTGTATAATATAAATTTTTTTTATCAATTTATTTTATTTTTATTCAATAAAAAATTAAATAAGAGAAAAAAATCTAAAAAAACAAAAAAATAAGATTAGAAATATCTGGTAGTAGGACCGAACGCTAAGAAAAAAGCAATTCAACCAAAACTCAAATGAAAAAAATTATCATTGCCTAACTTTTGTACAATATAAATTAAAATGTATTAATTTATTTTCTCTTTACTATATAAAAAAAATTCATTAAAAGAACAAGAAAAAAATCAAAGAAACATTTAAAATGAAAAAATATATTTAAAGAACCAAATGAGTATTAAGTATACAAGAATGAAAAAAAAAAATATATATATATATATAAGCTAGAAATAGACTAGAAGCATATTAAGTTTGAAAATTTATATGGATGAGCTATAATAAAAGTAATTGGCATTGAAATTGAAAGTGATATTGATGAGCCAATAACGATATAATGGGTGATGAGATAAACCGTCAAAATAGTTAGTTGAAATAAAATAAATGCCTAGGTAAGTAAAGAAGGCCTAAAATTGTAATTAGGAGTTGAAATAATGGCATGAATTAATTACTTCTGCTCATAGGATGAATTGGAGAATAGATAAAATATGACATGGAAGGGAACATAATATGAAAAATATGTTACAATGAATTTGATAAACATAGAAGAAGTGAGTGAAAACTTGTGTTGAGATGAACTATAGAATAAATGGAAATTAAGGAGTAGTTACATGTGTGATGACAATAATTTTATTTGTTTAATGAAGAGAAAGAGTTTATCGGTTGTCGATGAAGTATTAAATTAAACAGAGCATAAATGGTGTGCTTATAGAAAGATTAATGATATTGGTTTTGTTTATTTAGTTGTAAAATGTAATAACCATGATATAAATACACGTTAATTTTTGTGATCTTGTGTGTTACTAAGTGGATCAACCAAAAAGCATGTCCTCTACGACACATTGCAGCCCCATCTAAATCTGAAAACAATACGTACCGTCTATGTGATCTCTATTTTTGCTGTACTTTGTAAAAAAATTGCCTTTTGTTATGAGCTTCAAAATCATACGGTGGTTTTTCTGTTTTCATGAAAAATAAACGAATACTAGTATATTCATCTGTGTTATGCTCTATATAAATAATTTTTTTAAATATAAAAAATATAGAGAATATATTAAATATTTTGTAACTATAACAAAAAAATTTAAAAATTGCTGGATTTAGATGAGTAATCAAACCCAATGCCAGTAGGCAGCACGATACAACTCTATTAGGTCCTCTTAATAGTAAGATTAACACTAAAAGAAAAGAAATTTAACTTAACTCAATCTTAAATAAAAAAATTATTATTATTAATTTTTGTATAATATAAAAAAATCTTATCAATTTATTTTTTCTTTATCATATATGAAAAAAAAATTAAATAAGAGAACATAAAAAAAATTAAAAAGGCAAAAAAATAAAATTAAAAATGTGTGGCAATAAAATGCTAAGAGAAAAGCAATTAACCCAACCCAACCTCAAATTAAAAAAAAAATATCACCATTCAGTTTTTGTACAATATAAAAAAAATCTCATCAATTTTTTTTATTATATAAAAAAATTCAATAAAAAAAATCTAAAAAATAAAAAAATAAAATTAGAAATATCTGATAGCAGGACTCAACGCTAAGAGAAAAGCAATTTAATCCAATGTCAAATAAAAAAATTATTATCATTTAATTTTTGTATAATATAAAGAAAGTTTTATCAATTTATTTTTTCTTTATCATATAAAAAAATTCAATAAGAGAACATAAAATTTTTTTAGGAAACATTTAAGATAAAAAAATATATTTGGAGGAATCAAATGAGTGTGTTAAGTACATAAGGATAAAAAAAATGTATATATAAATCAGAAATAGAGAAATAGACTAGAAATATATTGAGTTTGAAAATTTACATTCATGGGCTATAATAAAAGTAATTGGTATTAAAATTGAAAGTGATTGATGAGCCAATAATAATATAATGGATGATGAGATCAATCGTTAAAATTAGTTAGTTGAAATAAAATAAACACTTAGATAGGCCAAGAAGGCCTAAAATTGTAATTAGGAATTGAAATAATGGCATGAATTCGATAAATAAAAAAGAAGTGAGTGAAAAGTAGAATAAATGGAAATTAAGGAGTAGTTGCATGTGTGATGATAATAATTTCATGTATTTAATAAAAAGAAAGAGTTCATCGGTGATCAACGAAGTATTAAATTTAAAAGAGCATAGATTGGTGTGCTTATAGAAAGATTAATAATATTAATTTTATTTATATAGTTGCAAAATATAATAATCATGATGATATAAATATTCACTACAATTTTTGTGATCTTGTGTGTTGCAAGCACCCTCTTTTGAAGGCCCCGGTTCAAATAAAAAGGGTTATCAAGCTACTTGGCTCGTTCTATTGGATAGGTACTAGTATTATCTAACGATTGTATTGCAAACAAGTTTATGCATGTAATGTATTGTAATTGTACTAATGTGTAAGTATAAGTTATATATTAATATACTTTTGAATAAAATTATTGGAAGGTAATCTTGATGATGTTCTTGTGATTTTATATATATAAATCCCTCATTCTTCACTCATTTAATTATTTGAAATGTGCAATTTGCATTGAAATTTCCAGGGCGTCACGGCCTTCTTGTATGTTACTGCCATGAGTAATCCATAGCCCTCAATGTTCTTCTTTTTTCAGAGTGGATAGCTTTTTAACAGATAACCTGAGGAATGATTTGCTATTCTACTATGTATCGAATGCCTAGGCATGTGCCTTTGCAAAACCCATTTTAATGTATTATACGTTGGGACAACCTTAAAGTTAAATGAAATTAATACAAAACTCCTAAAACCTAAAAAATCACAAGCACTTTAATGACTACAGGATCTGCCATTGTTCCAAAAAAAGGAAGAGAGTATTGTTAATATTTTGCAAATGCAAGCAACATTCATTCTGCTACGCTGACAAGGTTGATGCGACATCATATAGCCCATTAAAAGGAGGCCTGGCAAATGAATGTTGTTTGCAATAGGAAGAGGCCCACGTGTAGTCCTGATCCTAGGAATTCATTCCACCTTGTTGTCTCTTAACTCTTGTAGAACACAGAGTTCAAGTATGAGACATCAAAGATGTCGTGGGATAAATCCTGATTCCTCTTTTCTGCGTCTAATAATAATAAAGCTTAGGGTTTTGTGGTTAAGGGGCAATTTCAGGTCTATTTATGCTGTTTATTGGGCAATAATTGGTAGGCTTGGACAAGCAAAGATCATATCAACAAGCCCAACGGCATGCAATGTAGCATCATGCCCTTCATAGGATTAAAAATGGTGGGCTCCCATGTTTTCTGCAAACCATAATTGTAACCACAGAGTTTGCTCATCTGTCTAATGATTCAAAGGTCCCTTTCCCTTCATGTGCAATTCCCCTTTTGGCTTTCACCCAACCTTTTGCTCCCTCTACATACCATGGCTCACATAGAGATAAAAATAAATAATAAAGGTGTTTTTTTTCTTCTTTTTTAGTTGCCTATTTGGCGTTGAAAAGTAATATATCTTACGTTGTTAAGTGACTATGAGTAAAGATTGCAAGACATAAAATAAAATAAGTTTATCAATACTGAATTTTTAATAAATTACTATTTGAAAATTACCAAAATAAAAAAATATTTTTTGGTTGATGAATTAGATAATTGCTATGCTGCTGCTGCAAAAAATACTAAGTGTTTGTTTTACATGTGAAAAAATAATGTCCAGCACAAGGAAAATCTAACAAAATTGAGCTTCCATTTAGATTATATAAAAATTATTTTAATATCATCTAATTAATCTGACGAGTTCAAAAAATCTTGAGTAACAAAAAAAAATGATTTGATTTAAAAAATTAATATTTACATGTAACGGAATGGTAACGTTACATGAGCAAAGAGGGCACCATAAAGTATGGTGGGGGCTATAGTGTTGGTTTTAACATACAATAGAGACACAAAGTTGAAACGCACAAATACTTTAGTGTTTAACACTGCCGTATAAGTGAAGATCTTGAACCCATAAGGCCATCGTCTCCTTGCTTCCTGTTTGCATGTGTAGTGAATAGAGAGAGCTGAAATAGCTACTCAAATATTTTGTCACCTTTCTTGACTCGAGACAGCAAGTCCCATTATTGATTCTTCAGGCAGCAGTCTCATTATTTAAGTCTTCTGATTGGCGCCAAGTAGTGTCATGCAGTGGAACTTGCACTGAAAGTGAACAGAATGAACATCATGTCACAGCATTACACAGCCAGAAAATATGCCAGCCTTCTGCTCGGCCTTTCTTGGTCCAATTCAGACAAATCAATCCCAGATCCAAGGCCTGATAACACACTCCTGATCTACAGGGCTTGGTCATTTGGCAAAAGCCATGGACGGCATTCGATTCTAGACATTAAATAAGATGCTGACTGTTTCAACGGAGGGGCAAAATCAAGACAGAAGGCAAGAGAATAAAAAAAAGGAGGCAGCCAAGCCCTCTGTCTACGCCTGCAAAATCTGTGAGGATGGGGGAATTAGCAGAGACCCCAGTATCTTAAAGAAAGAAGAGCTTAAAGGCAAATAGCATAGGATTCATGAACTTTTTATATATAGCTACCAATTAATTAGGTGTTGTTGGTAACATCACCAGCCGTAGAAAGGCTGGAATTGATGGAATCATTATTACCACTGATCGTGCAATCTCAAGTTATGATTAAGCCAACAGTCATCATAATTCAAACATGCCAACACTAGATGTCTACTGACCCACATATATAGATACACACACCAAGCTTTGTTTGAGGCAAAGTTCTAAATCAAACATGACTCGGAGGGTGGTAACCAGTATTTGTTTGTGAGAGCATATGTTAATAAAATTTCATAAATTATTTTAAATAAATATAAATAACAATAAAAAATTTAATTAAAAAAATGATGAGAAAAACACAAATAAAAATAAAAATAATGAGGACTAAAAAAAGAATTTAAAATAAAATATATAATAAAAAAAAGATTGATGAAAAAATTTGATATAATTAACAAATAACAAGAAATTTATGAATTTTTCATATTTTTTAAAAATATTTTCTGTTCAAAATAAAAATAAATTACTTTTATAGAAATTAAGTTAAATTTTTTATTAAAAAATGTTTTTCATAATAAATAAACACAAAAAAAATTTCTAAAAAATTTCTAAAAAATCACTTTTCAATAATAAATAGAGTATAAGTTCATGTCTTTATTTTTTAATTATTTGTTTTTAATGCTCACCATTTTCGTTAATTTATTATAATCATACAAAGAAAATAGTAACATAGCATGTTCCAAAAATCTCAAATCTTTGATGTTTTAGCTTAAAAATAATTTTTTAAATAATTTTTAAATTATTTTAATGTGTTAATATCAAAATAAAATTTAAAAATAAAAATATTATTTAAAGATTTAAAAAATATCATTAACACGTCATAAAAAACAACGCAAGTAATCCAAAACTTACAGATGGAAAGAGAGTTCTGTACGCGTGTCGGTCCTCGACTCCTAGTAAACGTGGGATATGGGATCATCATCCGATTTGACAACTCATCCTTTTTTAATTTGCCTGTAGATAGCTTAGCTCTTCTTTGTAATTGTTAGTTAATGCAATGTTCTTAGTAACCACTAACTTCGAAACCGTACTGTAATGTCCAAACTGTAACTATGGCGTGTGGGCGCTCAAAAAGCAGACTACTTTCTCTCAAAAGCTTACAGGTTTGCATCTTAGACTAAAATAGGATTACATTAATCCCCCATGAAAAAGCAGTTCAGGTTGGGGTGCTGTAGTTCTCATTATAACGTGTTATCCAACTCATCCTCTCTTCATTTTCACTTTTGCGAGCTTTACACTTAATATAGAATTAAATTAAGCTAATCTTTATGGGCGTAGCTTTCACTAGCCATGATTACATCCCCTAAAAGCACCGCAGCCCTTCAGGATTCCTGCAAATTTCCCAAAGCAAAAACCACGTAGCAAAAAAGGCTACATCTCACTGCCTTTCACCGAAAAGTGCTGTTGCACACCTCCAAAGCTCTTGACTTTCACCTTGTAAGCACTGATTAAAGTATATATCAAGAGTCTCCTACCAAAAAAAAAAACCCTCACTCTTGACTTTAGATTGAGCCAGCATGGGTTATGCTATAGAATTGTTTATAAGGTTAATTTTTTAATTAAAATGAGTTTTTATACCATATCCAGGTGTGTGTGTGTGTGTGTATAAATGGTTTTGAATTTTAGCCTAACTTCAACCTCATAATTCCAACTCTCTTTTTAAATAGAAATAAAGAAAGAGAGCTGTCCCTTGAACAACCTGTCAGAAGAAGAATAATAACTCCTGTTTTGGTTTGTACTGACAAGAGATGGGTTGTTAAAAACAGTTAGATTCTTGAAAGAGAGACACTTACTTGTTAGTTAGTGGGGTTGGTGGTGCAGAACTCTCAGACGGGAATTGCCAGGTTTCTTTTTCTAACAAGGAGATGGGTGTGGTTACAGTAGGTGAACTGAAGCCAAGTATATCAGGGAAGAGAGCATTTCGTCCGAGCTCAAGTATAAGGCATGCTACTGAATGGTAATCTTTTCTTCCCTAAACTACTTTCTAACCAGCTTTGTCCCATGCTTGTCTTCATGTCACTAGCTATCTACTCCAATTAGCTGTTTAGTGACGCTTGTTTCTATGTACATTTCATAGTTCTAGCATAAAATCTTCTGATGCTTGCTCCGAGTTTTCAGCTGCACAACCTAGCTAGAGTATAATGCTTGAGAGGGTTTTTTTTGTTGAAGAGATCACTGGAAGTTCGATCTGTGGATTGGGTCCAGAATTGTAAGAATGTGATTTTAATCTCAGGGGAAGACGTGATTTTTCTTCATCAAGTTCAGATTTTTCTTGATTAATATGGAAATAAAAAAAAAAATTAAGGCAGGATGCTGGAAACTGTGAAGTGTATTCCCCAAAAAAGAGGTCTGGAAATCTTATTTTTTGTTTTTGAAAGATTCTTTTAAATTTTCTCAACTGTGTGGAGTATTTAGTTTTCCAACCTTGTTGTTTTCTTATTGATGAAAAAAATATTCTATAACTTGAAATGTAGAACCTTGCACGATTCAGTAGTTGGTCTTCTGTCAGTCCTGCAATTCTTGTAAACTCGGAGTTTTGGATTTTAATCAGTCAAAAACAGAATCTGGTAGATTGATTATATATATATATATATATATAAAGAAGAAAAATAACTTAGACTTCCTTTACAATCCCCAACAGCATGCCTTTTGTAGGTCCAGTAATTTTATGAGCTTCAATAGCTGATTATGCTCGGCCATTAAGAGAAGAAAACAGCAGTTTTGACAGATCAAACATATGACCTTGACTTTTCCATCTGTTCTGCCTGAATTGAACGACAAAGGCATGAGGCTGCGGATACATTCCCATCCTGCATCTTCAATTTTATGGATTGCAATTAGTTTTTTACCTGTTACCACTCAATGATTCGCCCGTTTATTTTAACCATGGATAAGATCTAAAACATGTACCCATAGGCCGTACAGTGGTTTAATGAGTGTGACATAATTTCTTGAGACAAACACAGCTATCTCATAACTCAAAAGCGACCTGATGCATCCTGTCATATCTATGTAGGCTGGCAAAATTTCGAAATTGTTTCCATTGCACAAGAACAACCAGTTCTGCACTCTGCAGTTCAGTTTTTTTACAGTTAAAACAAAAATATAACCGTAATGCCTGCTGCAAATCTGCTTGGGCAGTCCCACTCATCGTTTAATAATTGAGCTCTTGGTTTTCCATCTGGGCCATCTTTGTCGATTCAGACAATGAAGATGGATAATTCAGTCCAGGGATATGAGGTTGTTACTCCATGATTAATCTAGTCCAGGAACACTTACATATAGCGTCCTTGAGCTATTTTTGTGTATGGATAGAACTTGAGCACTTACTGTCCAGTGAATCTGTTTGGGATTTATGGTTTCAAAAATGGGAGTTCAGCCCTATGGTAGAAGCTCTTACATGGTCTCTAAATTATTGGCACCGACAAACGTGTAGGAATCATTTATTTCCTTTTTTTTGGATTTTTTTGTTTGTTTTCTATGCAGTCCCGCTTCAATCATTCTACCGTCTTGCAGGCCAATTTCGGATGTTTCTAGTGATCTTACAGTCGAAGTAGGAGCTGCAAACTTTGCACTTCACAAGGTAAGGAAAATCTAGTATGTTCATATGGGCATGCATTTTACAATAGGAATTTAGGATCTAAAACAGCTTCCTGATCTTCTTACCACTGACACCTTGCCATCATTCGTGGTATTTAATACCGAAAATAATCTCTACTTGTTTAATGTTGTCGTACGTTAATGTTAAATAAATGGATTGTCCTATGGTGAGAAGAAAAGAAAAAACGAAGAGGAAACTTTGTACTTCACTAGAAGCATTGATTTTATTATTCAAACTCTATGCAGTTTCCTCTGGTTTCTCGAAGTGGAAGAATCCGTAAACTGTTGCTGGAAGCGAAAGAATTAAAGATCTCGCGCATAAATATCCCTGCTGTACCTGGTGGACCAGAGGCCTTCGAGCTTGCTGCAAAGTTCTGCTATGGAGTAAATGTTGAGATTACGCAGTCAAATGTTGCTATGTTATGTTGTGCTGCCCATTTTCTGGAAATGACAGAAGATTTCGGAGAGAAGAACTTGGAAGCCCGAGCTGAAGCATATCTGAAGGAGATGGTGCTTCCAAACATATCAAGTTCAATTTCGGTTATTCACCGTTGTGAAACTCTATTGCCCATTTCGGAAGAGATCAACCTGGTCAGTAGACTTATCAATGCAATTGCAAGCAATGCATGCAAAGAGCAGCTGACCTCTGGCTTGTTAAAGCTAGATCACAACTTCCCTGCGAAAATTAAGCCGCATATGGAACCAGAAACACCATCAGACTGGTGGGGAAAATCACTAGCAGTGCTGAATCTTGATTTCTTCCAAAGAGTGTTATCCGCAGTAAAATCAAAGGGTCTAAAACAGGATATGATTAGCAAAATCTTGATAAACTACGCCCATAATTCTCTTCAAGGCCTTGTTGGCAGGGACCCTCAATTGGTTAAGGGAAGTCTCTTGGATTTGGAGTTGCAGAAGAAACAAAGAGTCATTGTTGAAGCAATAGTTAGCTTACTACCAACCCAATCAAGAAAGTGTCCAGTTCCAATGGCTTTTCTTTCAAGTTTATTAAAAACTGCTATAGCGTCATCAGCAACTACCTCTTGCAGATCTGATTTGGAGAGGAGGATTGGTCTTCAACTAGATCAGGCAATTCTTGAGGACATCCTAATACCAGCAAATTCACACGGAAACAACCACTGCACCATGTACGATACTGATTCGATCTTGAGGATCTTCTCTATCTTTCTAAACTTGGACGATGAGGATGATGATGAAGACAACAACTTACGGGATGAAAGTGAGATGGTTTATGATTTTGACAGCCCTGGTTCTCCTAAACAGAGCTCAATTCTAAAGGTATCAAAGCTACTGGATAATTTTCTTGCAGAAGTTGCTCTAGACTCGAACTTGCAGACATCAAAGTTTATAGCATTAGCGGAACTACTTCCAGACCATGCTCGTATTGTTGGTGATGGATTGTACAGAGCTGTGGATATCTTCCTCAAGGTTAGTAGCTTTTCCTACTTTTCTCTCTTCGTGTTCACAGAAGCAGTGTTATTTCAACAGTCCACTTCATCTGCATGCCTCCAGATTTTTCATTTATAATATTTGAACACCATTTTGTGTTTTGTTCATGATCTACTTACAGGTTCATCCAAACATTAAAGATTCTGAACGCTACAGACTCTGCAAGACCATCGATTGCCAGAAATTATCACAAGAAGCCTGCAGCCATGCTGCACAAAATGAGAGGTTACCTGTACAGATGGCAGTCCAAGTGCTATACTTTGAACAGATCAGACTCCGAAATGCAATGAACGGGGGACACAACCAGTTATTCTTTGGTGCATTAAATGGTCAATTCCCTCAACGTTCAGGCAGTGGTGCAGGAAGTGGAGCCATCTCTCCAAGAGATAATTATGCATCTGTTAGAAGAGAGAACCGAGAGCTGAAGCTTGAAGTAGCAAGGATGAGAATGAGGCTGACTGATCTCGAGAAGGACCATGTGTCCATGAAACAGGAGCTGGTAAGGACTCACCCTGCAAACAAGTTGTTCAAATCATTCACCAAAAAATTAAGCAAGCTTAACACCCTATTTCGAATCAATGGTCTTAAGCCCATAGGGGGCAAGGCTAATTCAGAAACAAGGTTCTTATTCCAGAAGAGAAGGCGTCACTCGGTTTCATGACTGTAAATGTGTGGGAACAATTTCAAGTTAAAAAAAGTGTATAGTAAATATATTGTGATTTTGGAGTGTTGATACTGAGTTGCCGAGTTTGTTCGAGAATATTGCTGCCTTGAGTTTTCGTTTGATGGGCCGTTGAAGGCAGCAGGAGCTCAATCAAACTTATTCTAGTAAAAGGCTATGTCTGGAAAAAATATGTAATGCATGGGGTTTTTAGGACACGCATTTCAATTTTCAAGCAACTCCCGACATCATCTGCTTATATATATATAATCTTTGTCTTCTGCACGGACATGACAAAGTCAAATCACTTCACGCCTAATTGGAGGGACTCTTCTTTAGTCTGTGCTCGGCACATGGTATGTTTGCGGATTTAAAAAAATAAATTAAATTTTCATTTATAAATTATAGTTTTTTTTTCAAACTTCTTAGAGATAGTTTTTGGTGGCATTCATACAAATATATAATATGTATTTATCAATCAGATACTTTTAAATATATAATTAAAACAAAGTATACACGTTATTTAGTTTGAGTGTTGTGTAATGATGATAAAAATATATAAAAAAGGGGGTTAAATTATACCCTCATCCTTGGAGGATATAATTTAATTCCTTAATTTCTTAAAATTTCTTTTCATTTTCTTTCTTTTTGTCTCCAAATACACCCCATTTTTCATCTTTTTTCCTTCAATTATTATTAATAATTTAATAGTTTTTCTTTCTTTCTATTTACAAATCACCCTTTAATTTTTCATATATTAAATATTTTTAAAAATTAATTTTATATTTTAGAAATGGTTGTTGTAGTAATTATTTTTGTAATGATTGATTTTTTTTTTTTTACACTTTATATCAAAATGCCATCGTAAAACCATGCTCCAAAGTAGCCATAAACTGCAAAATATATAAAATAAGACACTGCATGCGCAATCATTGGGTCACAACAATGACCACAATGTGATCCTCGAATGCAATCATTTCCTTTTTCAGTTATGCCTCTCTTGATAATACATTCATAGAAAAGAAATAATCAAAAAAAAAAAAAGGGAGGCCGCGTAGATTAACAGACAGAACGAAAGAAAGTAGTTATACTGGTGGTCGTGTACTGACCCGATCCAGAAAAGCAGCATGGAAAGTTGATAACAAAAAACTAATTTGTTATTTTTAAATTAAATGCGGTCCTTCGCTATAATATAATTATTACTTTGTTATTTTTAAAAATTCAAAAGTTTTTGTGTTGGGGGTATTTTTATTTTTTTATATAGTTTATTAATCATTAAAATAATAACCAGAAATATAAATATATTTTTCAATTTTCAAGTATAATAAAATTATTAATTACCTTTCAAATCAAAATTTTTAAAGCTGACACCATATATATTTACATCTTATTAATTTTTTAAATAAAATAAAATAAAACCTTTTGCTTCGAATAAGGCGTTGGTCTACGGAATTAGTGATTTTGACTTCGTTCCCCGGTGGAGCAGTAGTTTTTTTTTTTCGTAATATCTTTCCTTTCATGATCTTCAGGAAACAAAACGGCATCACTTTATAAACAAAAAGCAAAACAAACCAACCGTCTCTCTTTTCCAGCTTCCTTCTTTGAGCACCAAACGCAATTCAATTGAATTCAATCGCAAAAAGAGAGGCACTGATTGTCTTCGAGAAGGAAATATGCGCCTGTCTCTATCTGGAATGCGAAACGCTTTCCCCTTTTCAAGACTCGTAAGGTCCAAAACAGTTATTTATTTATTTATTTAACAACAGTAATAATTAGGTTTTCAATTTAGAGTAAAATCATACGGATTGCTTGTTTTAAATTCTTATCAATCCGACTGAAAATTGTAGTTACTATTTTCAATCGTATCTGATGATACAGGCAGCTTGAACAAGAGATGGAAACGGTGGTTAAGGTACTGCAGCCTGGACCTTTGGGAATAGTGGAGCACAATTTCTCTGCTGTGGAGATGCGTCAGGCAAATGCCATTGTCCGCACTGCAGTAGACAATTGGCGGAGGAATGCAAATCTAGAGAAGAGAAGCAGCGTGTTAAGAGATTTTATTCAGAAATAATCGCTGCATCATTTTTCCTTGACTATCAAATCATTAATATGTTCTAGATTTCTAAGCCCTAGTCAAATACTTCATCGTGATGTTATTACACCGTTGTCTTTTTTTTTTGGTCAATTTTTCTCAGAAGCAGCACTTTTTTGAAGTATTTTATTTTCCGTTTCTGTTTCTTTTGTTACTTATTTTTAGGGACGATTCCTTTAGGGGCTGTTTCTCTTGCCTTTGTTCGGTTTCTATTGAGGATCCCCAAGGTGCTTTTGATGACTGAAACAGCGGGATATCCTTTTGAAACTTGTATGATTTGCAAGCCTGGCCGCTGATATGGCTGCGAACCCTGGGACGTTATCTCCGTGTCAGCTTCATTTGTTCTAGTGATACAGTGATCTGCATGCTCAATTGGTTTTTTGGCTATTAGTTTCTTTTCCCCAAATGCTTGCTATATGTTTTTTTGCAATGGTGGTCCAAAGAAAATGTCATCATTTCTTTGGACTATATCCTAAAAAGAGATTTTCTTTAGAGTCCATGAACTTTGGAATGTTACCTTGCTGTCAACCTTCTTTGTTTTAGTGGTGCAATGACCTGCATACCGATTGCTTTCTTCTAAGTCCTTGCCCTGTCTTGTGGGGTAGTTCATAGTAATCAGCCCCAAAAGTCCAAACATTTGTTTGGACCTTGTCCTAAAGAAAACTTTCTTTAGAGGCTACCAATCTTTTATGTTACAATGCTGTCTGTAACAGCCCAGTTAGCTATGCAGATGTTGCCCAAATGCTTTTTGCTAGCCTCTCTTTTCTAAGTCCTTGCCATGTCTTCTGTGCAAGTTCCTACTGATATGTCTGTCGACAGCTTTTTTGTTTGAAGTGCGTTTAGAAACACTGAAGTTTACTGCTTCCTTTTTGTTCCTCTTGTCTATGTATATTGGACATGTTCATTGGCTAGGTTCTTGTGTATATTTTTCTTTAGGTAGAACGAATGCTTTTCGCTAGTCTCTCTTTACCAAGTCCTTGCCATGTCTTATGTGCAAGTCACAACTAACATGCCGGCAGATTTTTTTGTCTTTTATAATTACTGAAGTTCATTGCTCCGCTTTTATTCCTTTTTGTTTATGTATATTGAGCATGTTCATGGCTAGGTTCATGTGTACATTTTTCATGAGGTAGAACATCAGTGATCTCGAAGTAGAATCTAGAAGTTAATTCTTATTCGAGAATATATTCGAAGCAATAGAATCAAATGAGTTCCTTATCAGAAAGTTATTTGCAAGTCATTATGTTATCATCTTACTGCTCAGTATTTTCATAACTTGAATATGGAATAGATTGTGATAGTGACTTATGGCATCATTATCTGGATTACACGCTCTGACATTGATTCATCAAGTTGTTCATGCATGATGGTTCTGTTTGGGGTGATACGCAATTTTATCCTGATAGATATGGCTGACTGCTGTATTCCCACTTTTATAGCTTTTCCAGATGCAATCCATTAGACGATCACAACGTGACTTCGACAATCTTTTGCTAATTTGGTTTCCATAGCAGTAAGTTATCTGTACTTCAAGGCACAAAACAAAGAAATTACTCCCAATATTGTCTAATCCAACCTTTCAAGCACAGAACAGGAAATAACCCATCACAACGTGACTCAGAATGTGAATATTATTTCCAAACTACTCAATTTTATATTTTTCTTCAAAATCTTGTGTGATGTGTCAACTCTAGCACGTTCTCTGAATCGATGCTAATAATTTGGTAGATCACGTGTCATTTTTCTACCGTTAATCCTAATGTGATCCCATGTTCGATTTTTCCCACTTTTATTTTTTTATTTTTAAGGAGATAGCAAATTTTATTCATCAGAAAGCAACTAATTAGCAGAATGCTTAATCCTTAGCCCTGAAAACAACCACGGAAAAAAAACAAAAAAAAACAAAAACAACTAGTATGTCTAAGAAAACATCAGTGTTTCATGCAGACAACAAGGAGACAAATCCCCACAAGATTTCTCATTAATTTTAAAACAAAATTAATTTTTATCAACTCCTTTAAAATTCAGCAATCCTAAAGCTCAATGGAACCAGAACAGATTAAGAACATCAAGATTAGGCTTGACAACGAGAAAGGTATTAAAATTAAAAGCTGCAGGCATTGCAAGTTCCATCGAGCTATAGGATTACTGAAGAAGTACTTGACCAAAGAATGGGTGCTTTGTTGGAGACAACTTATAAGAAAGATAAGCCAAGGCAACATTAAGATGAAAATTGGGTTTGATCTTCAACAAGATCAAGATCATGATCATGAGTCTCGACCAACTGTTCTTTGTTCTCATTTGGCGCTCGTACATCTACTTCATAAAGGAAGGAACAACAAGCTCCATGGTTCAGATTGTCCAAGAAAAGGAAAATTTTGCAATCTGCCCAGTACAGATTTTGTGGAGCTATAAGCATCTTTAGGAGGCAATGCTAAATGCAATGTACTCTAACTTTTGTCACATTCAGTGTTTTTGCAAGGAACAGTTTTGATTTCTTGTTTTGTAGATACTTTGCGCAAGGTTTTCAGCTGTAATGAAATTTCTCATTTATTATAAAGAAGGTTGACAAATGTTCACAAGTCTTCCCAGCCCTTGTTATCCTCAACACAAAGTGCTCATGCTCTGTATCTCACACATCAAACATCGGTGTGTGCTCCAAAATGCTTGATTTTGAACCCTTAGAAAGAAACAAAAGCTCAACATCTTTATGAAAGACAGCATAGATGTGTGGAAGTTCTTATTAGCAAACAAGAGTGATCCTGTCAGGATAAATTAAAAACTAAAACAGGTTCTGAACCATGCCTCCTATTATTTTCTGCTTCTAGGAAAAAAAGAAAAGTACAACAAAAAAGAACTAGTAGCTTATCTAAATGTTGAGCAGGATGACATGATCCATGTCCTGTGCCAGGGAGAAACAAGTTATTCTAAATCCAAATAGCACCTGCTTGTATAAGCAATGGGACTAGCTGGTTCTGAATATGTAGGCTCATCACATTCCTTTCATTACCAACCAGCTGTTGGCCTATGAACACAGCAGGTACACTCTGTCGAAACCCAAGCTGCATTAATGCCCTTTCAATTTGTTGTCCATTTGGAATTCTGTCAAGGTCATAAACTGTTGGATTCGCTCCAAATCCTCGTATAAGCGTCTCGACAGAGTGGCTCATGCAGCAAGAACTCTTGCTGAAAATCACCACTGGCTTTTCTTGAATCAATACATTCACCGCATCCATTGTCACAGGGGGCTCAAGAGTTTGATGTTGCTGTCGAGAGATTTTTAGAAGGCGTGCGAAGTGAGTGTATTTCTGAAGATTGTTGAGAATAGAAGGCTTTCCTATGAGGAGCTTGAACACATATGGTGGTGTATTTATACTGTCTATTTAGAGTGGATGTATTGCACATCGTTTCCTGCTGGATAGAATATCAGGGACGACATGATCAGCTGATCAAAAGATTTGCCATTAGAAACTCCTTTTGCCTATTTGATGATTACTTGATAGAGACCTGCCTATCTCCGTTTCCAATAGCAATTTGCATACGTGAAAAATGTAGTTCTCTGTGCTAATGACGAGGACTTGCAAAAGTTTTTTCATCTTTTCCAGAATGCCGTACAAACATAAATTCCTTGTTCTTCCTATACATGTTAATCCACCAATCACTATTTTTTTGACAACTTTTTTTTTTTGAATCTAATTCATGTTTGTCATTGTTCTTGCCGTTTGAAAAAATAAATTTTAGAAAAATTATAAATTGTTTCGTAGTAAAGATTTTATGAGAGAACTTTTTTTAAAAACTCATGTAAACTATATTGATTAATTAAATATTTTTAAAATTATAATAAAAAAGTAAAATATAATTTCAATCTCATCTCATCACATTAGCATATTAGCATGAGCATGAATTGTAGTTTTCTTAAATTTTGGATGGGTGAACATTTGATATGGAATTGAGACTTTTTTGATAAAACTTTTTCATATAATGAACTCAAATTTAACGAGTTTCAAATCTCTAACAATCTATTTTCTGCTTTTAATAGGTTCGAGAAACTTACTTGAGGCCCACACTTACTTGGTAATCTTTTAAGATTTATATATGAATTTTTTAATATTTTATACTAATTTAATATATATTATTTTAAATAAAATATAACTTAAAATATCATAGGAATGAAATGGCTCTTCAAATCCTCATCTTCATACAACACAAGACTTTAATGTATATTATTTTGAATATAATATAAATCAAAATATCATAAAGATGAATTCTCATCTCCATAAAAAACCAAGATTTATTAACTATAAATATTCAATAAATCTTTCAAGTTCTAAGTTCATAGTCTCTTCATTTTTAATATTTTTAGTATATATTTATTTAATTTTAAATTTTTTTTTTTTTAAATATCATTATATATTTTTTTTTTTAAAAAATATTTATTTAAGCATTTAAAAATTTCAAATCTAAAAAAAGAAATCTTTTGTAGTTACCAATTATATTAACTTATTAGACACCAAATATAAATTACATGTTATTTTAATAAAAAAAATTAAATTATAAGAGTTAAAAAATTAACTGATTATTCAATATATAAATTTTATTTTTAAATTATTTAAATATTTGATACCTCATCACTTGACTTATTTCAAAATCATAGAGCTATGGTTCTATCTATTTTGAGCATCTATTGAGGTGGATAAAGAATTGAGTTTAGGTTCTGGTCTAGTGGTGGGAGGGGCTTGTCTCCCTTTTCCGCACCTGGGTTCGAACCTCACCATGCACGTCTGTCACCCCTGCGATGTTTTACCTGCTCACTGGGCTTGCAGAATATTCAGTGGGCCGTGGGGATTAGTTGTGGTGCGCGTAAACTGACCCGGACACCCCACATAAATAAAAAAAAAAAGAAAAAAAGAATTGAGTTTATCAACGTACACTTTCCTCCATGGAGCAAGTTGTATTTTCATGAAGAAAATCGAATGCTCGAGAGAAATAATGCTTTTAGTAAGTTAATCTGACGTTAAAATCATGGTTACGTAACAAAAACTACTAATTATTTATTATATTATAATAATAATTATTATAATATATTTAAAACACGTTGAGAAATTATTATAGCTTTTCTTATATTGCACTTTTTTTATATTATACTAGTTAGAGTATTTCTTTGTTTATAGATTTTTTGTTTTTTTTTTTAATTTAATTTTTTTTAATATTAAATTGATTAAAAATTTAGTTTTATAATTTTTTTTAAAACACTGTGAATTACTACAGTAATTTCCCACATATATTTTTTTTAGCTTTCCTCATATTTTACTGTGGATTGCCACAATGCTTTTTTTTTTTAGTTTTTTAAAATTATCTTTGTTGATTTTATTTTTTAATATTGAGTTGGTTAAAAATTTAATTTTATAATTTTTTTAAAATATTATGAATTATTATAATATTTCTCCACATAGTTTCTTTTTTGTTATAGTTTTTTTCAAAATTATTTGTCGATTTTATTTTTTTAATATTAAGCTGCTTGAGAATTACAGTTGTAGTTTTTCTTATAAAACACTATGAATTGCTACATTAATTTCTCATATGTTTTTTTAAATTATATTTGCTAATTTTATTTTTTAAATATTGAGCTGATTGAGAATTTAGCTTTATAATTTTTTCATTTAAAATACTGTGGATTGCTATAGTGATTTCCTTTTATTTTGGGTTTTTTTGGTTTTTTTTGCAAAATTATCTTTGTTGATTTATTTTTTTATATTGAGTTGGTTAAAAATTTAGCTTTAAAACACTGTAAATTACTACAATATTTTTCTATATAGTTTTTTTTATTATAATGTTTTTGTAACTTTCCTCACATTTTACTATAAATTGCTACATTGCTTTCTTTTTTTTTTGTTTTTTTTCTTTCTTTTTTGTGATTTTCTTTTTGATTTTTTGTTTTTTTTAAATTATCTTTGTCGATTTTAGTTTTTTAATATTGAGTTGGTTAAAAATTTAGCTTTGTAATTTCTTTTAAAATAATGTGAATTGTTATAGTGTTTTCCTACATAA